TGTCTATTTCGTCCACTAGTTCCTGTACACGTTGATGAAGGCGCTATACAATAAAGAATGAAAACAGACAATGAGCAAATCGAATGTAGGTGAGCCACCTTGGTTGCGAAATGCACACACGTGGCTGGTCAAAAATCTCCAGTTACTCACGATCACAACCCCGGTAGTGAAGGTAGTCTTCTAACTTTCTTTTGAAAATTGTTGGATTTTGTTGATATGTAGTTGCTGAATGAATTTTGGTATAAACTGGTGCGTCTGGTTGTCCAAGTAAAGCAAAGGCAGTTGGTTAACTAGTAAACACTTAGTAGTTAAACAACGTCCCTCTAGCCCTTCACCCTTCGGAGCCTTGGTTAAACTATCAAAACCAATGGCACGGGGATTTCAATCCTACAACGTACCTCTCTTGCTACATTACACAGGAGAAAAATGTAGATAACAAGGACCCAAAATCCAAAAGCGAAAGGACCGGACAGAATGAACATGCCAGCTAATCCACGGGGCTTCGGTCAAATGTTCCCGGGAAAATGCAGACGATCAACGGACCAAGCCTATCACTAGGTGTAATTCTCGTTTCAATTCTCCACAAAGCAGTTACGAAACTTTGTGAAATAAGGAATATTCATTCATGGACAAAAATAACAGAGATGTTTTGAGTGCGAACTCTCATCTACGGGATCAGACAAGAAAGTGTGGGTTAATTTACTCAGACCATTCGATATCACTATGTAAACACAAACACCGATTAAAGTTCTATATCGCCCTAAAATAATAAAGAGTGGGAATAATTCCTGTAACATAAAACAAGTAGAATGAGAAGGTTAGGGGTAAACTGGACAACTCCAGAGTAACAAATTAGATAACCCTGAAAGATACGGACAGATGGGGATTAACTCATTAACTGAAGAATGGTAAATGGGTACACAAAACCATAGTATTGATCCGAAGTTTGAATGAATTAAGTTTGGGAATTACATATTACTGTAAGAATTACGAGAGAACCTACAAAACTTGTTACAACACGGTATATAACGTTTATAGTATTATCAGAAAACAAGCACTGGTGCAGAGTCGTCACCTGAGTTTCATCATCTCTTCGGGCAAGTTCNCGATAGCGTGTAGTTGCTTCTGTTTCTAGATGGAGGGAACGTGTTAAGCAAAGCATCAACCAACCTCAAGCTGTTCGTTCAGAGACTGACATTGTTCATTCAGAATGCGTTGTTCCCGCTGAAAAACACCAGAAACCACAACAAAATCATCTCTGTGTAGTTTACTTCGATGTGCATGTGTGTGTAGGCCGCATGATATTCAACCAATAAGCTGCGATCCTATTGATCTGCAGAGAAAATGACAGGAAGTAGTTAGATAGAATATTCTGTCAACGCAGCGATATGACTGAAAGCCAGAAATACTGCTGCTGCAGAAATGCTGAACTCCGGCCACATGGAGATTGAGTTGGCTTACCTCATTGGAGGATTGCATTAATGAAATCAATTTATCTTGACGAAGTTTTTCATTCCCGATTTCTAGCAGTAACTGACGGGCCGAATCCAACCTCTGAGATAAATAAGCAATACGCACGGTTGGGTCGGCATCGTGATCAATACCAGCATCCACATTACCCGAGCCATGGAGACTCGATCGACCGTTGTCGACACTGCGGTTTGCTGAACTGAGTGCATCGCGAATGCAATGGTGATGTGCTGAAACAAACTTGTCTTTCCAATCGACCGGTAGATTGGCTTCTGGAATCAGACCAACGTCGCTGAGCTGTTGCCGTAAACTCTGCACTACCGCGACCAACTCGTCCATATGCCACTAAGAAAACAGTCGGGAGGGTTTAAAGATAAAGCAAGATGGAGAAAAACCAAAGCTCGAGAAAAATTGTGAACAATATGTTCATGTTCTTTGGTAAACACAACAGACCCATGACCCATGTTTAAACAAGCGCACTCACGCAAGGTCTATGCGCAACCGGCAGAAAGTAACGTCTACAATGATATGGGCACGCAATTGGATCAACCGACAACCAAGTGGTTCTATCTTTTGCTCTTCTACACCTTGCTTCGACGAGCTGTCACAACAACAGCCGATATCAAACTGACTGATGCTTGTGGTGTTTCTGACTGGATTCAGAAGTGAATTGAAATCTGTCATGCACTCCCATAAGACAGTCGTGTGCCAAAGACACCAAATCTTCAAAGTATTACCCACTCATCCACTAGCAATGAACAGAAATAAAAAGACAAGGGAATGACATATAAGCTTGTCATACCAATGTCTCACATTGTTATAAATGAAAATGTCAGACCTTGACTGAACGTAAGTTATCTCACGGAACAGCAATGTGATGGTTATTCATGGTGCTCGGAAATAGCAACATTAATCATATAGGGATGCAAAGACTGAAGTGGTTGCGTTTTCAGTCAAATAAACGAAATATCTACCTAAATAGTTTTAGATAAAAACCGGGATAGAGCAGAAAACAAATTTTTACATGCGAACACATTTCACTGTATGAAAGATGAGAAATCTCTGGTGGAAGAACACTCACTTTGCACGATTCAGACACACAATCATGCAGCTGCTGTACTGCCGTTTGGGTGCACGGTTGCTCCCGTTCAAACTGCTCCAAGCTGATACGCAGCTTTTCGGCCTCTTGTTGAAAAGAATCNCCAGTTCACGCTGCTTGCGATCCAGTTCAGCTCTGGTTGATTGTAAGTTTGCTTCCAAGTTCGCGATTCGACTGAGTTAACAGGAAAGATGAAAATGTTCACACGTGTGAACAATAAATATAAGCCGCATTGTATGTAGACAGCAATCGTGATGCTTTTACGGTAACAGCTTTCCGATGTTCTGAAACAGAGAGCCTAAAGCTGCTAATATAGCTTCATTGCCTGGTAAAGGTTTCCTGACTATTCTTCCACTTATCTTACCCACTACCTGTTTCGGAAAATATCGCGTGCCCTAGACAACGTAATCTACGGAGGTTAAGCACTTGATCTAGTGCGTGAACACGACTGCCTCAAACTGCGCCCAACCTCGGCATAGCATGTCCGGTTGCAACCACGTGCATGCTACAAGCGTAGCTGTTCGTATTAAGGTAAACCAGGGAAAAAGGAATTACCACGAACAGAACAAGTGAAAGTGTGTGTGATAATTTCCACCGTAAACAAATACCGTCTTACGAGACAATAATCATTGCATCAAGAAACATACTCAAAAGACCCATTTTCAACACCGTACTCTGTTCACTAGGCTGTATCTCCCTGCCTATGAGACCTCATCTATAAGCTAACAGAATGACGATACAAACCGCCACATTTGAGGATAGCCTTCAGGCTTTCTATGAAACAAACAGGCTTACTGCGGATAATATCACCTCCCTAATTCGTCATGTAGATAAATCCGTAGATGTAGCCGCGGAATCGGTAAGACTCGCGTTTCTTCGGCCTTGACTGTGTTCCATGTTCCAGTCACTTTCAACAACTAAAAACACTTGGCTGGTACAAACAACAACCAGCGACTAGTTGAATACTTCACCAGCAAGACTCAAAGAACTTGAGTGGGTATGAGAACACTCAAACCGTTCGTCGATAGCTCAGGAGTAGTTATGAGAAGGGTTCGTTTAAACTTGTTGCTTTTTACGTGTAACGGTGATTCATATATATTTCAAAAATGTCTTAGATTTTTGTCTTTAACGTAGAAGCAAAGGTCGATATTTCATAATTAGTACTGTGAAAAAATAGATTAACATCTCAAACGAGTCTAGCTGCCAAGATATGTTATTGGTGTTGTGCATCCTTTTTGCTGGTCTTTCTAATGACGATCTCCGAATACTTCACCACGAGTATTCAATTATCAGTCATGTATTTGTATAGCCTTGGTGTGGGAGGACTATGAAAACAAAAGAATTCTGTATGCGCAAAATTTATACCGAAAATCCTTTCGGATCCCCCTCATTTCCTAAAAAGATTTCTACCTTTGTGACAAGCGCCCGCGTAAACCCGTTATTTTTCTTATCCTCTCGCATTCATGATTATAGGAACCTCAGTGTTCCTTATCCCGATCGAAAGCTCACAAATCGGACAATGAATTGCCCACAAGCGTTCAGAGGTTAACTTTTTAAACGGGAATGAGATCATGTGATTTTCGATTGAAATACGGACAATAGCTACCAGTGCACGCTAAAAAGTTAGAGAAACGAAAGGAATCGATCTACCTAGGATCAACTATTGCACAACTCACCCTTGTGATTCGTTCTGTTTGCGCATATTCTCATTTTCTTGCGTCATCAATCTCAATTCATTCGTTCGAATAACAGAATTAGATTGTTCTAGTTCCCGGTAAAGAGCATCGTACTTCTGACGCCACTCTGCATTTAAAAACAAACAATAAGTACGATAAAAACACCTTCAAAGAATACGTTCGTTGACGTTGAAGGATTCTGCGAGCTGGATACGTTTCGCAACCATTCTACGCAAAAACATCCGTGTAACCGGGTTTATCTATTTCTACTTCCAGATTATGGTTGGATGCTTGAAATGCTATCATCACTTTGTCCACTGCAATTTTTCGGTACAGTCCGGACTCCAATCCTTGTGAAACAATAATAACAATAATATACGTA